GTAATCTCAGCACTTTGGGAGGCCTAGGTGGGCAGATCATTTGAGATCAGGAGTTTGAGACCAGCCTGATCAACCTGGCAAAACCCGATGTCTACTAAAAATACAAAAATTAGCCGGGTATGGGTAGCACGTGACTGTAATCCCAACTACTTGGGAGCCTGAGGCAGGAGAATCACTTGAAATGGGGAGGCAGAGGTTGCAGTAAGCCAAGATTGCACCATTGCACTCCAGCCTGGGAGACCCTGTCTCTCTCTCTCTCTCTCTCTCTCTCTCTCTCTCTCTCACACACACACACACACACACACACACACACACACACAGAGTGGTCAGACAGAGCTCCTGATGCTTTATAAGGAGCCAGAATCGCAGAAGTTTTATGTGAAATTTCCTGGATTGCAAAGCACTGGGTGTACCAAACAAACACCACTGGGGGCTGTAGCTGGCCTACAAGGCGCTAGTTGGTGGTGACTCCCGGTAATAGAGGTAACTCCTTCCATGATCCGCCCTGAACATTGGGCTCTGCAATGCCACAGCTTCCCTAGTGACCCTTGGCAGGCACCTTCTTCAGTGATTCCAAATAGTTATGACCTGTCCTTGGTGAGAGAGGAGGGGCAGGTCTCTTGAGGGTAGTGAAGCAGTACAAATGTTTGCATTTCTCAGGGATGCAATCGATGTAAACCAGATAAATGAAACCAGAGAAAGTCAGTGGCTGAGGCAGGGATGAAATGTGTCCCCGTGGCCTCTTAAGCAATTAGCTTTGATGTCCCTGGCAGCTGTTGAATTCCAAAGGCAATTCCAGTGGCTTCGATTTGAAGCCAGTCTCTTAAGACCCACGTAAAGGCAGGGAGTACCCAGAGAAGAGCAAACCCAGGGTGGGTGGTGGTGATGGGGGTGGGGAGAGGGAGTGGTCGTTCCTGTCCTCAATGTCGGCAGAGTTACTATGTAGAAGGGTGAGTACAAACTTATTTTGTGTGGATCCAGGAGCCAAACCCAGGGCCAGCCGGTGGAAGCTAAAGGGAGGCAGATCTTGACCTAAAGAACTCCCTAACAGTGAGAGATGTCTGAAGGTGGAATCAGTTGTGTGTGGAAGTAGCAAACACTTCGTCATGGGAGGACTTCATGGGAAATGGCCACCCTTGGGACTGAATGGTAAAGAGAAGGGTTGTTTTGGATAAACTCTGAAGTCCTTTCTATCCTAGAAATTTTGTGATTTATCTTATTAGCAATATTTTGTGGTATTCAACTGACCCATTTTTTTGGGGTCTTGACTTTTTATTTTAAGAAAATGTGCAGAAACTTCAGAATTCTCTTTCTACTCTGGAAATGAGACTCTCTGCACATAAAATGTAACAAGTGGGAGGTAACCCAGAACCACGATACTTCAGAGGCACAGGTAACAGGGAGTGACTGGCAGTGGCTTCATCTGTGTCTGCCTGGGAAGAGTTAAAGTATTATACAAGCCAGGCTTCTGAAAAACGGGAAGGGGAATGGACAGATGGGATACAGGAGCCTGGAATTAATAAGAAGTCAAATGGCTGAGTCACTGAACTAATTTTAAAGTCTGAAGGTAACAGGAAAACAGAAAATCAGACAATTGGAAAGTAATGAAGGTTTTGTAAAGACCCCAAGTGGCCAAAACAACAGGAGAAGTCGGGAAAACGTAATTACAACACTGATGTGAGCCCTTTGAGCCAGACCATCCTGCCTCTGGCCCTCCCCTCTCACTCGAGTCCTGCCTGGTCAGTAGCAGCTCCCCGCCCCAGGACACAATTAGAGGGTTGGGGGGGGCGGTCACCATTCACTCAAAGCATTCTTGGGTAGTGCCGCCAGTGACAGTGTCCATAAGTCCATCATGGCCACTCACTCCCTCTTGGTAAGAATCTGTCTCCCCCTGACAAAGAAAGTCAGAGCAGGTGTGAATGCTGGGAACCGTTTCACCCATTATACAGAGGGAAAAGCTGAGGCCCAGAGTGGATCCTGTGCAAAGTGCAATGGGGAGGATTGAGGTATATGAGATTCAATTCATTTTTCCCTCCTGAATTAACAGAAAAGGCCCATACTGGGAAAGTTGGAGCTTCAGCTTGTGCTTCTGCTTTAAAAAGCATCATCTCTAGGGATGAATGTGGACAGTCTCTCAAACTCAATAACTGGCTTTTAAGAAACAGAGACTTCTCATGTTCCACATTCTAAAAACCCACCTTTTCATTGACAGGGTGAGATTTGAGGATGTACTTAAGAACCACCAAAATCTGTGTTCTGTCCTATTCACAGACTGATCAAGAGAGCCAGCAGCCTTTGAAGCTGCTTCTGTTTGTCTGATTTTAAAAGGCAGAGAAAGGCCCAAAGATGGTTTCCCAGCAGGATGGGACAAGTTAGCAAGTTTTCTGAGCCAGGGCAATCGTATCTATAAAGAACTAGAGAGAGAATGTTCATTTAGTCTTTAAATTTATTTCTTTATATTTTTTTAGAATCAGAAAATGTCCCCAGACGGTCCTTGTGTGATGGACTTTAGAAAGTCATTACAACCACTTCTGTTTTCCAGCCAATCTTTCTCCTCCTGCCTGGATGAAGAGCCTCAACTCTTCTCACCCTCTCCCCTCCTGGGTGGCTCCAGGGCCTCCTGACCAGTCCCTGCTTCACCCCTGCCCACCACCCTACACACAGCAATGGGACGGATCCTTTAAAATACAAACTTGATCACACTACTGAGCTATGAAGCCTTCAATGGCTTTCCCACTGTGTTCAGAGTAAAAGCCATCCTCCTTAGAGTGGCCAAAAGGTGACTTAAACATCAGGTCACTCCCACTACTTCATTCACTCTCATCTCCCCTTGCTCACAACTTGGATGACACTGCCCTTCTTTCTCTGCTCAGCCTCCCTCCAACTCTCCCCAGTGCTTTTGAATTTGGTGCTGCCTCTTCCTAACTCACTCCTCCCTGGCTCTCTGCAGGGCTGGGCTCAACTCAAGAGACCTTGAAGAGGACATTTCTGAGCAGCTGGCCACAGGTCCTTCCCAGACAGTCTGGGTCTAACTTACCACTCTGGGAACTCGTCAAGATCTATCCACATCTTACTTATTTCCTTGTTTATTTGTTTCTAGACTTTTCTCCTGGCTTGACTTTAAGCAGGAAACTCACCTGTCTTGTTTACCACTATAAACCTGGCTCATAGAATTGTTCCTGATACACAGGGATGACTCAAGAAATGTTTAATAGAGGCAAGGAAGGAAGGGAGAGAAGGAGGGAAGAAAGAAGGGAGAAAGAAAGGAGGGAGGAAGGGAAGGAGGTAAAAAGAAAGATTGGAGGGAGAGAGGAAATCTCTCTCTCTCTCTCTCTCTCTGTCTCTCTCTCTTTTTTATTTATTTTTTTTTTAACATATTCTAGTTGGTTTTTAGCCAGAGAAGGGTGATACTTAAAACATGAGGCTTAACTATGGGCTTTATGGCCTAAGAACAGCAATGTTTGGGACAAGGTAAGAATAGCTGGGGAACCCCCAAGTCTCACCTTGCTGGCAGTCAGCTGTGTTGCCTAGGGGTGGGACAGACAGATGCTAGGGAAAGCAAAGGGAGCCGCCAGTGGGGGCAGAAGGAAATCAATGGAGGACCTGGGAAATCTCAGCCCTCATAGGTTTGCAGGACCTCTTCCTGCCTGGGAGACTCCAGCATCTGCCTTTCAATGAACAGCATCAGGACTAGCATTGCCCGGAAGAACCTGGAATCAGTGAGAGGGTTGGTGGAGTGCAAATATTTGGACCAGAGAAAGGGAACGCCTTGGAGACAGAGCTCCGAAGTTCTGCAAATACAATATCTTCATTTAAAGACTGGTCTGTAATTGGCACTCTGCACACAATTGTGTGATTTACAGATGATGGCATGGGGTTCTGGAGGCCGGCTCCAGGGAGATGAGGGTGCATGGACCTTAGGCTTCGCAGAGCACAAGACTCCTGTGGATGGAAACAAAAGCAGCTATAGCCACCAGCAGAGAAATCTCTTCTTATTTTGTTTGTTTGTTTGTTTTGTTTTGTTTTGTTTGAAACAAAGTTTCGTTTCTGTTGCCCAGGCTGGGGTGCAATGGCGTGGTCTCAGCTCACTGTAACCACTGCCTCCTGGGTTCAAGCAATTCTCCTGCCTCAGCCTCCCAGATAGCTGGGATTACAGGCACCTGCCACCATGCCTGGCTAATTTTTTCATATTTTTAGTAGAGACGGGGTTTCACCATGTTGGCCAGGCCGGTCTCGAACTCCTGACCTCAGATGATCCGCCCACCATGGTCTCCCAAAGTGCTGGGATAGAGAAATCTCTCCTAAGCAAGAGAGTTGTGCACACAGCACTGGACAATTTGCCGGGTGGGGCATGAGCTCGCTAGGGCATTGGGAAGGGGCTGGTGAGGATGGTGGTCAGAGGCGCCTGGTAAACCTCAGATTCTATAACATTCAGACCAGGTCCATTTCCTGCTGATGCCCAAGTGGACTCTCAGAAGCCATCAGGAGGGTGCTCGGCTCATCAGGGGAAAGTCAATTCCCCGGGGCTTTCACTTATAACTTTGTTTGCAGATAGCAAGCCTTTTCCGCCCGGCTCCTCATCCTGAGCCTTTCTGCCTGTAACAATCACATTATTTAATTTAGACGAGTGAAGTTACCTTAGATCAATTATACTTATTTTTCCTGTGTAATTTCCAAAGCTTAATATCTCCATTCGGGCCCAGCCTGGGGGACAGGTTGTCTAGCAGAGTCCTAAACGATTTCAGCCTTTAATTCAATTGTACTTTTACCATAGCCCGGCAGCGAGCATAATTCTTTTATCCCTAAGATGTCTCATTAGCAATAATCTAATAGCACATATTAAAATATAGGTCACCGAGGTGGGCTGCCAAGTGGAAGGCTTGTCATAACTTTGAAGGCTGGACAGTTGCCTTGGTGGGACTTGGTCCCCCAATAACACACCACCCTGACTCTAGGCTTAATTCTAAAATGATCAATAAAACACAACAAAAACAGCTTACTTTCTGCAGTTCAAGGTTAAGAGCCACCGTTGGATACGGAATAGAGCTGTGGGGTAGGGTAAGGCGGAGGGGAATGTTCTTGCCAACATGACGTAGTAGGAAAGATCTCTGGCCTCAGGCACTTGGGCTGGAACCTCATCCCAGTTGTGTCGTGAACATGCAGACTGACCTGCGGTACAGCTCTTACGGCCCTTGACCTCGGTTTGCACGCCTGTGAAAGGGGAAGATACTGGGCTTAGAGCCAACGTTGCCTGAATTCTGGCACTCCCTGATCAACTTGTCCTAGTATGAATTTGATGTTTCCTTTAAATCAACTCATTCTTCTTAATTAAATACATTTGTTTTAAAAAGGAAGCTCAAGTATCAACATGGAAAAACCTCAAGAATATTTGCAGGAGGATTCATGCGGAATAAGGCCAACTGTATAAACTTTAAACATGCGCAAAAGTGATGCATAAAATGGTTTAGACAGGCAAAATAAATCTATGGGGTTCAAGGTACAGATAGCAGTTACCTTTGGGGAGGAGGGAGATGTTGACAGGGAGGGGCAACCAGGGGGACTCCTCAGATTCTGATCATTTTTTTCTTCTTCTTTTAATGGCCTGGATATGGTTTCATGGGTGTTTTCACTATGTAAAAAGTGCATTTGTAATCACTTCAATTTTCTGTGTGTTAAGCCTCACACAAAGATATATATGTTTTATATAAAAAAATTTATATATATGTTTTCATATATAGTTTATATGTATAAAATTTTAGGGATATACACAACATTTTAGTTATATGTAAATGTACATGTGTAATTGTAAGTAATAATATATACATATAGTGCATACATAGGTACATATACAGTATATGTATATATTGAATATGTGTGCTTGTGTGTATATGGTATGTATATCGATTATTCCTAATAATATATCAATTATTCCTAATACTATATTATATATTTATATTTAATAATACATATTGTTATATATTTATGCATTATATGTATGTATACCATATATTTAATATGTGCTATTAGGTAAGTATTATGTATGTAGATAAGACGGATTATTCCCAAACGTGTATCTAAGCTTTCACTGTCTGGCATCTATGAACACTACAGAGCAGGTATCTAGTGAGAGCAGAAATACTCTGTAGTGACAGTGTAGATACATGCTTGGGAATAATCCGCATTTTTTAAGTTACCAGTAAGAAATAAAGAAAGAAACTTTATACTCTCATCGTATAATAAATAAAACACTAACATCACATGCCATAAATAGATAACTGTAAAAATAAAGCAATGAAAAGAAAGCACTGATAGGAGATTCTAGTTTGATGTGGTTTGGGCCTGAAAGTTCTGACCCAAAGCCTGACTTCCCTCTGTTGAACTGGCGATTAGTAAGTGAAAGTCGTTACAGACACATGAACACCAGATTGAGACTCACTCCTTCCATAGTCAGGGCTAAAAAAGCATGAAAAGCAGTGGCACTTTCTCCCTCTGTGATTCAAAGTTACTCAAAGAAGGGCCTGCACAGCCCTGAGCCATTGCCCCTTTTCCTTGGGGCTGCACTTCTCTACTTTAGGAGAGATCTGCAAGGTCCCTCTAAGCTCTGACCATCGTGGTCTCTAAGGGATGGGGGCATGGCGAGAGGTCTTGTTACAGGTGGGCTGGAGGATAGGGAGAAAAAAAGGGAAGGACACTATTAGCAAAATTGGAAAAGTTTGAAACAAAGCCCCACTCCATTCTCCAGCTACCCGGACTGGTTCTCCCTGAGCCTGAGGCAGGGGCAGGCAGGCACTCACTCCTCGGAGGGCAGTCCCCAGCCTTCCCAGACACAGCCATTCCACCTCCCTCCTAGGCTACATTGAGCTGGGGTCTGATTCCTTGAAGCACGTGTTTGTGGCTCTGGGTCTGCTCTTGGGCCACACAGAATATATGTGTAGCACCCCCTGGTGACTGCATGTCCATTCCTGAGGCCAGCAGGTCTGTCCCTCAGTCTTCTCCTAAGGCCTAAGTCTCTCCATCAACTCCTGACCTAACTCTCCCCAGGACATGCACTTCAGCTTCAGCTCCATGGCTCGCATCCACACGTGGGCAGTGTAGACCAGCTGCCAGTCCCCTTACAAGAGTTCCCTCCAGCGTGTGCTGGAGGGCTCAGTGAGGATTCCTGTGGCACTTGGAACAGGCAGGGTGGCCTCATGATGACCTCTTCCCACCTCTGTTATCACCAAAGATCCTTCGCAGCCTGGACCCTCCCCTCACTGCCACCCCCACCTGGACTTCCAACTCTTCCCAGCCTCCTCATCGAAACCTATCTTTCATACATCTCCTTCCTTCAGAGTGATGCCAGAGCAATGTTCAACTACCTGCTCTGAGAAACATTCCATAGAGAGGACGTAGGTGTGGGAAGACCCTGGGACCACGTGTCGGAGTCAGGTCTGACCTCTTGCTCTGCTACTATCCCGTGTAATTTCGGGAGTGGAAGTGAGGCAGGGAGGTACAAAGTGGGGCAAAGAAGTGGAGGGTTCTTCTGCCAGCTACCTGGGAGGAAGGGCAAAGCCCATGACACACAGCAGTAAGGGGAGACTGGCAGCGGATGCTGAAGACCTGGAAGGTGGGCAGGACAAAGGCAGAGGGGACAGAGAAGAAAAATAGAAGAGAAACAAAATGGGGTTGGGGCAGATCCTAGTACTGCTGGGAGGGGTGGATCTAAGAGCTTGAGGTGGGAGGTGAGTCTTGAAGAGGGAAGGACTCTAGCTGCTTGAGGGGAAAGGGTCAAAGGAGATGGTGGTTGACGAACCACAATGTCTGGGTTCAGAAATGCATCAGCCATGGCCTCAAGTTTCCCAGACAAAAAGGGTGAGCAGCCCTGCTGAGAATAGGGAGCTCGAGCAGAGAGATGGAGTGAGGCAAGTGAGGCCCAAACTGGCAACCGCCGAGCCATGGAGATAGAACAGGGGTGAAGAGTGTATGCCCTGGAGCCCGCCGGGATCGGGGCTTAAACCCCACCCTCTGTCCCGCTCTAGCGATGCAGTCCAGGACAGGACATCTAGCCACTTTCAGCATTGTCTTCAATCTGTAAAATGAGAACAATGATCGTCTTGTATGAAATGATACTTAGCATAGTACCCTCACCCATTTTGTTAAGTGAATAGAACTGTCAAGTGTATAGCAAATGTCTATCGTGTTTATAGTATGTGCTCATCACTGCTGATGCACTTTGCAGTCGCTGATGCAATTAAGCCCTCCAACTCCCCCAATAGATAAGATACTATAATGAGCCCAATTTTATTATCATTATTATTATTGAGACAGGGTCTCACTCTGTTACCCAGGCTGGAGTGCAGTGGCGTGATCATGGCTCACTGCAGCCTTGACCTCTCATGCTCAAGCGGTCCTCTTATGTCAGCCTTCCTGAGTAGCTGGTACTGAAGGTGTGCACCACCACGCCTGGCTAATTTTTGCAATTTTTGTATTTTTTGTAGAGACAGAGTCTTGCCATGTTGCTTAGGCTGGTCTCAAACTCCTGGGCTTAGGCAATCCACTTGCTTCAGCCTCCCAAAGTGCTGCGATTACAGGCGAGAACCACCGCACCCAGCCCTAAGCCCCATTTGATAAGTGAGAAAACTGAGGCACACATCAGCTCGAGGTAGCAAAGCTGCTAAGTGAAAGCCAGGATTTGAACTCCCAGGCGGTACAGAAGTTGAGTGCCACTATTCCTGCTGATCACATTAAGGGATCCAGAGATCAAGGGCCTCCTAAGAAACTAGGAAGGGAGGGTGGTGGTATTTACCAGAAAGAGGGGTAGCAAATCATCACCCTGCACCCTACCTCCTAGTTCCCCTGTCCTTACCCAAAGACCACCCAGCTTTCATTTTGAGGGTTGAGAATACAGAGGAGGAGGCAGACTCCTTAAGAACATGTTTCAGGCAGGTGTTCTCTGTATGTAGTCCACAGAGGGTGAACTACTGTGTGTACCACTATCACTAAATAATTTAGTAGGTTCAGGATCCTGGGCATGAATGCAGAGCAGGACCAGCCCAGACTAGGTGCATCCCCCAGGCCTTGGCTTCATTGCAGACATCCCTGAGCTAAGGCCTCATGATTCCCTTGAAGAGGGTGCAGTTCACACTTCTGTTCCTTCACCCTTCCATGCCCCTGCTCTGGGGGGTTGATGGATGCTCCTGCTGCCTCCTAGATAGTCCCCTAGACAGTGAACGTGAGGCAGCTTTTTTCCCTTCCATGTTTCAGAAGGGACCCATTCATATCTTCATGGAATAGAGAGCCCAGGCAGGAAATGGCTGTTTTTTGCCAAGCGGTCAGAGCAAAAGGAGGACACACCAGTCTGAGGGAGCTGAATTGCCCACAAATTGCCACAGTCACTCTCAACTTGGGACAAAGGTTATGAAACACGTCACTAATACTGGATTTACTATTTTTTTAAAGAGCAACAATTATTTATTTTACTCATGAGTCTTCATTTGGGGCAGGGCTTAAAGGGAATGACTCGTTGATGTTCCATGATGTCAAGGGTCTCAACTGGGATAACTTGGTTGGCTGAAGCTAGAATGACTAGGGGCCGGCTGGACATTTCTTTCTCTTTTTGTGGTCTCAGAGCCTCTCTCTGTGATCTCTCCAGCATGGCACCCTCAGGGAAGTTGGACTTCACACATGGAGACTGAAGGTTCCAAGAGAGAGTTCTGGGCAGAGCTGCAAGGCTTGTTTTACTTACCTCACTTGGAAAGTCCCAGAGCATTATTCCTACCACATTCCACTATTCAGACAAGGCCAGCCCTGACTCGGTGTGGGAGGGCGTTCCACAGGGGCCTGAGTATTGGGAAGTGCAGATCACTGGGGAGCCATCGTGCTGGCTATATGATTTCCTATTACCTTACTGAACAGATTCTGTTGTGATTTCACATTTACCATTTTATTATAGAGGATATTGCAAAGGATATAGATGAAGAGATGAGTAGGGTGGCTTTTGGGGGAAGAGGATTGGAGTTTCCATGCTCTCCCTGGTGCACCACCCTCCAGGAACCTCCCCATGTTCAACTATCTGAAAGCTCAAGTTATTTTTTTAACAGGAATAAACATGCCACAAACACGCAGATTCCTGGCTCCCACTGCAGACCCACTAAATTCAAATTTCTGGGGTGGGGCCCAGGAATCTGCACTTTTAACAAATCTGCCAGAGGCATGAGCTGGAAAAGTAGAAA